ACGGCAGAAGAAACTTCACTGAAATCACTCTGGATAATTCCTTGCTGTTTTATTGTTATTATGCATTGGTTGGTTTTCCCTGCCAGGAGCAATTGGTGTGCTATTTGGTTGGGGGTTATATTTCCCGTGTCCGTTGATTTGGATTCTTGTTCACTATTTTTCAGTAGCCTCTAAGCTTCCCGGCTGCTTCTTGCCATGTCCAGCTCTGTCATAGTGTCAATCCAACTAGAGTTTTTGGCTTGTGTAAGAGTTGAGATCAGCTTTCTCCCAGCTTTTACAGTATGTTCAGTACAAGGAATTTCTTCAAAGTGTGAAATACAATCCAAGTATTGGGGGTGTGTTTCCACAGTGAGATCCAGGAAGGAGTTGGTCAGCACCATCTTAGAATAGAGGCAATGTCACTATTCCAAACTCCTACCTTGAGAGTCAAGGGGGAATGGAGCACCAGCTAACCTCTGCATTAGAAGACCTTTCCAACCAGCTGAAACTCAACCCTTTATAAACACAGATCTTTGCCTTCCACGTAAAGAACAAGAGACCCAGAGAGGAAGCTTTGGGTTAGCAGGGAAGAGAAGATTTTGGAAAACTGCCAAATATTTGGGCATCACTCCGGATATAAAGCTGACCCACAAAATCTTGTCTAAACAGAAAGTTGCCACCAGAAACAACATACTTAGGAAACTGACTGGGTCAGACTCGGGTGCTCGCATAAATTCAAGCCTCCGCATTTGATCTTCCTCTTTTCCTGCTGCATTCCACCTTTCCTAGCATTCTTCTCTTTCCCAGTAAATCTTCCCACACCGTGCGCAAAGCAGGACAGCCTCGAAGAACTCCTTTGACACAAGCTCTTCCCACATTCCATGCATTTGTAAGATTGTTCCCTGTGTAAAGTAAAGTCATTGTTCATAGTGAAGCTTTTTCCACATTTTCTGTATTGATATGGTTTCCGCTCATGTATAAGCTTTCGTGGATCTTCTCTTTCCCAGTAAATCTTCCCACACCGTGCGCAAAGCAGGACAGCCTCGAAGAACTCCTTTGACACAAGCTCTTCCCACATTCCATGCATTTGTAAGATTGTTCCCTGTGTAAAGTAAAGTCATTGTTCATAGTGAAGCTTTTTCCACATTTTCTGTATTGATATGGTTTCCGCTCATGTATAAGCTTTCGTGGATAGTAAGATGACCACTTAGATGGAAGCTGCTTCCATATTCTATATGGTTGCATGGCTTTATCATGTGATTTGCTCCATGTCTCTGTATGTGGTTTCTTTCATGCATAGAGAGATGATCGTTTCTACTGAAACTCTTTCCACAGTCTATGCATTTATATGGTTTCTCCCCTGTGTGAGTTCTTTGGTGGGAACTAAGATTACCTCTCTGACCAAAGGTCTTTCCACACTCCATGCATTCATATGGTTTCTCCCCTGTGTGAGTTTTTTGATGTGAACTAAGGTTACCTCTCTGACTGAAGCTCCTTCCACATTCCAAACATTCATAGGGTTTCTCCCTCGTGTGTCTTCTCTTATGTACAGAAAGATTACTGCTTTCACTGAAGCTCTTTCCACATTCTGTGCATTCATAGGGTTTCTCCCCCGTATGTGATCTTAGATGAGAACGTAGACTTGATCTCCGACTGAAGCTCTTTTCGCATTCCACGCATTCATAGGGTTTCTCCCCCGTGTGAGTTCTTTTATGGGAACTTAGATGGCATTCCACGCATTCATAGGGTTTCTCCCCCGTGTGAGTTCTTTTATGGGAACTTAGATG